GTGGTTTTTTTCTTTAATCCATTCTTCTTTTCTATGTTAACTTATAATATATAGTTTGCTTTCTTTATTTTATTTGTCTTGCTTAGATCAACATTTCACAAAATGTGTTCTAAGGAATATTAATCTTATGGTATGTACTAATGTAAAAAAGTTTTCTGTGCTCACCAGTTCAGAAAAAATATTTTCTCAATTTAGACATTCACAATTCTCACTGGCTATGTCCAAAGCCCTTGGGTTAAGAGACATCTCTAACTTCTGTAACCCAGCCTTCTCCAGACGGATTTTGATCCCGGAACCTGTCTCTCCATGTCTTACTGCTCTCGGTGGTGTTTGAAGGTGACCGTGCTGCCGTAGCTGATTCCAGCATCTGCAACCTGATCGTTTTTTTCACCGTTTCATTCCCACCAGTGCGCCGGCCTGGGAGCTGCCCTCTGCTGGCTGGCGGGTGGGCCGGGACACCAGCAAGAACCGGCTCGCAGGCCGCCAGCCTTGGGCTCAAAGGCCTATCTCAGCTCTAATACCTGCAAAAGGAGGTCAGTAGAGGTGACGAAGCATTGAAGATTGCTGTGTGAAGAGACGGATCTATCCTGTTGGGCTCCAGGGGAGCGCCTGCCTCACAAATCCGGAGGCCGCGCCGCCACGGGCCAGGGGGTGGAGGAGAGGGCCAAGCATTTGTTTCGAACTCACGAAACCGTCTGGGAACTTGGAGCCAGTGAGCGGAGTGTTGGTGACCCAAGCGGAAGGGCTAAGGGAGCAGACGCCATGGCCAGGACGGAACTGATTCCTTTGGGAACATCAGGAGGCAGCGGGAGAAACCCGCCCAGGTCCCGCCAGGGCGCGGCTGGAGGAGGTGGCAGAGCCAGGCTGGCCCGCCGTGGCTGGGGGTGGGTCAGCGACTACGGCAGCAGCGTTCCTCTCGCCTCAGGCTCCTCATGAATGTATCCAAGCTGCGCACACTCTTTCACGTGGACGCTCCGTGCTCTCTGGGAAGAATGAAAAGCCATCTATTTTTTTCAGTCCTGAACAGTATCTGTTAGGAATCAGACACTTTCTAGACAGAGAATCACACAAATCGTTGGTGCTGTTATAATAATAGTTTAGTGTTTACCATGGCTTATTTGGGGGTTTTTCAAAACTCCTGTGAAGGAGGTCCCTTACCATCCCACCTTTGCTGTGAAGGACGCAGCTGGGTTGACTTGCAGAGAAGGAAGAGTTCTTATTCTTTTTCCCGCTGCTCTCCGCCTTGTCTGGGGGCCCGTGGATCAGACTCACTGAGAACAGATCGGTGAGCAGAAGGCGTGCACATTCCCTTCATGTATGTTTCTCACTCATGGAGCCTTCGTGAGGGACCGGAGGCTCCGAAGGTTAAACTGTTTTTATCTGGCCACACGAAGAGCAAGTTCTGGGGACATGTGACAGGCCCGAGGGTGTGAGCGGCAGTAGAGGTCAGAGAGTCCTCCTGCACCTGCTGTTTCTCAGATGCCTCCAGCCTGGCACATTCAGCTGCCAGGTGCATGCTGGGGCAGAGAGTCTCGTAAGCTCGGGCTGTAAAGCAAGTGACCTGCCCTAGTGCTGGGACTGTCACACCTACTTACACCTCAGACTCACCTGAAGAGCTTTCAAAAACCACAGATTCCTGAGCCCAAACCTGAGCACCCTGACTCCGTGGCCCCGGGTGGGGCCCAGGGTGTCTATGCATTCCATGGCCTCCGCTGGGGACTCTGACCTGATGCCCATCGGGCCCTAACGGTGGTCAGTTACCCCCAGTTAGCTGCGTCTGCGGCTGTGGTATCGGAGCAGCCTTCTGAGGTGAGAAGCTGCTGAGGTGGCAGCCGCAGCAACTCGTTAAGAGAAAGCACAGCCAGGTCATCTGTGTGCCAAGTGAGGTTGATTCCACCACAGACCCTCCCTGTCAGCATGTGGGCAGAAGCACAATGCAAGCAGCTGGGAGGATGTGCCCGCCCCACAGACTGAGTCAGAAGATGAGGCATTCACTGAAGGTGCGTCTCTCACAGAGACTCCAGAATCTGCTTGATCATCCAGCACATTTAATGGCATCAAATCAAGTGGAATTCATCGGAATAGAATTTGAATCTGAAAGCTCACTAGCAGCAGTTCAGATCATTTTCTGGGGAAAGCTTCATATTTATACATAAGATGTTTTTTCTATTTTCTTTATAAACAATTTCTTCTAAAAATCTCAGAGTTGCTGAAATCGGTTTGGCTCAGTGGATAGAGCGTCAACCTGCGGACTGAAGAGACCCAGATTCAATTCTGGTCAAGGGCATGTACCTTGGTTGCAGGTACATCCTCTGTGGGGGGGGTGCAGGAGGCAGCTGATAGATGTTTCTCTCTCATCGATGTTTCTAGCTCTCTGTCCCTCTCCTTTCCTCTCAGTAAAAAAATCAATAAGATAGATAGATAGATAGATAGATAAATAGATAGATAGAAGTCTCAGAGTTTCTTTCTGTAAAAGCAAGATTTTTTAAGTTCTTTTGTTTCTTGTCAATATAATGGTTTCAATTGTGGAAATGGTTTACAAAATGCATTACATCTTATGACTGGCTTTGTTTCACTTCAAATGTTTCTGTGATTATCCATGAAATATGAGAATAGTAATACTTAACATTTATTGAGGGTTTACCCTGTTATGCACCATCCCACCTAATTTACATATATGTCTCTATATAACATCATTTAGTTCTCCGAGTAGTTGCATATATTAAATCTTATTCTGCATCCCTTTTCTATGATGAGAAAACTGGGATAGGTCGTCAAAGGTCACTCAGGTAGAGCTGGGGCTTGAATCCTTCAGACTGATTCCAGACCTTCCTCTCTCTTAATCAGGTCGGTATTTTCCAAAGTGTGAATTTTGGGAAGTTTAATTGCACAAGATATGAAGGGATTTTTGGAATAAAAAAGTGTGCATTAACTAAATATGGTTGGGAAATTTGGGCTTAGACAAATGTGTTTCTTTCTTCTATGATTTTTCAGAGTATCTTAAAGATAATAAACTTTAGAAATCTCTAAAAGACAAATGCAGAATGTAACATGGCCCGGTTTTCCTTGAACACAAAACTCTTTCTGGTCAAGTCCTTTTAGACCACCGGCCTGCAGACTGAGCCTATGAAATAACTGCCTGCAGATCAGTGATGGGCAGAGTGGTTCACAGATCTCCCTGCCCGGGCCAAGCTTCCACTTCCCTCTCCCAGGGCATAGGAAGACCTGGCTGGGGTTGTGTGCTTTACTTTAAAATGATTATGCAGGTAAATTGGCAATACCTTTCTGGGGAATCATTTGCCTGTATAAATTGAAAGCCTTCCAAGGAGTTCAAGGTCAACCACTGAGGTAGGAAAAAAATATTAAAACATCAGTTTAACTCACTTTTGACTTTTTTCATATAAGTTTTGCTAGATATGTGTGTGTATAAAATGTGTCAAAATTATGAATTTTGTTTCTAATTGTTTATTATTACTATAACTACAATATTTAAAAATATATTATTTGAGCCCTGGCCAGTATGGTTCAGTTGGCTGAGCATCATCCCATGCACAAGGTTCTATTCCTGGTCAGGACATAAGCCCAGGTTACAGGCTCTATCCCCAGTATGGGGCAGGCAGGAAGCAGATAATCAACATTTCTCTCTCATTGATGTTTCTCTCTCTCCTTTACTCTCTCTCAAAAATCAGTAAAAAACATATTTAATATGTATATATTATTTCAATATGTATTATATTAAATATATACTATATATCAATACTATAAATATTTATAAATAATAGATTAGAATTGTAAAATTTTTATACCTCACAAATAATTTTGTATCTATATATTCATTTATATATGATGAGTTGCAATAATATCGTACTGTTATTGATGTTTTTCTATTTTCTTTATAAACAATTTCTTCTAAAAATCTGAGTTGCCGAAATCGGTTTGGCTCAGTGGATAGAGCATCAACCTGCGGACTGAAGAGACCCAGATTCAATTCTGGCCAAGGGCATGTACCTTGGTTGCAGGTACATCCCCTGCCTAGAGCAGTGGTTGGCAAACCGCAGCTCTTTGGCCCCTTAAGTGTGGCTCTCCCACAAAATGACACATGCGGGTGTGCACGTACAGTGTGACTGAAACTTCCTGGCCCAGGCGCAGAAGTCGGTTGTCGGCCTGGGCGAGTCTATTCTGAAGAAGTGGTTCTAACGCCAAGCCACACTCAAGGGGCCAAAGAGCCGCATGTGGTTCGCAAGTACCAAGATGTTGGGTTTATATGCTAGCAGAAAGGACTACAATGACAAACGAAAATGTTCATAGTGATGGCCCTTAGTAGTGGGATAAGGGGAAATTTCCATTTTCTTTGTGCTTCCTTGTATTGTCCTAGTTTTTATACAATAAATGTATATTTTTAATAAGTATTACACTCACAGAGTTCAAGTTTTTAAAGGACACAGAGAAACAGAGTCCTTTTCAGACAGCCCGTAGCCTTCCAATTATCCAAGAGTGTTATGTCTTGTGAATCTTTCCAAGGATGCATTATGTTGACAAAATGTGTTCAATTACATGTATTCTTTTCACGTTTCATCACACACACAACACACAGTGTTTCCCTGTGGTGTTAAATAATCTTGTGCGCCTGTCATTTCATCCATGTGGGCTGTACCTGTGGAATGAAAACATGGATAAAAGATTCCAAAAGTAGGATGGCTAGTTCAAATCACACCTTTGCCAGTGGGATAAACATTGCCGTATGTGAAAGGTACCAACGTCCTCTGAAGCCAGGAAGCACTCCCATGAGGGCTTCTGGTTTTTGTTTTGACACTTCAGTTCAGATCCATTGCCATGGATCCCGGCTGCACAGACACTCGAGAAAAACAAATGACTTAAAGTGTTCAGAGTCCCCCTCGCAGAGGCAATCCAAGTGCCGTCCGCCCCACCTGCCAGGTCACAGGATCTGGGAGCAGATGAGCCTGTCGCTGAGGCTCGGCTTTCACTCAGGGACAGTCCGGGCCGCACCGCAGAGAAGAGGCGGGTCCCACTTCAGTAGACCCCGAGGCGCTGGCTGGATCTGCATCTCGAAATATCGTGAGTTGCTTTAATTGTTTAAATAAAAGGAAGGGCTCTGGGAGGGTGGCGGTCAGCAGGAACAGACAGAATGAGAGCCTGAGAGGAGCCCCCCCCCCCCTCCAACCCCCCCCCCTGCCCCGCCACTCTGCAGAGGAGCCGGAGCTCCGAGCCCAGCAGCTGCCGAAATGTCAGATGGATTTGCACAGCTGACTCAAGCTGCCCGAGAGAGAGAGAGCCGCGCGGTGGCTCCGCAAGCTGCGCCCCAGCCAAGCCGGCTTAATATAGCCGCCGGGGCCCGCCAGCCCGGTCGCTGCGGGACTCTGTCCCAGGGTGGTGGCCTGGGACCTTTGTCAACCGGGGAGCCTTCTTGAGAGCTTTTTAGGTCCTCTCTGACTGTTTCTCCTTTTCTAGGAAGACAGAAACCAGCACGGAAGAGAATCATGTCTGAGCACAGCAGGAGTTCAGACCCAGAAGAACTTGATGAGGAGATCGATGAAGATCAGATCTTGGCCAACTTGTCCCCCGAGGAGCTGCTGGAGCTGCAGTCGGAGATTGAGGTCCTGGCCCCGGACCCCCGGCTCCCCGTGGGGATGATCCAGAAAGACCAAACCGACAAGCCCCCGACGGGCAGCTTCGACCACAGGTCCCTGGTGGACTACATGTACTGTCAGAAGGCGTCCCGGCGGCTGCTGGAGGACGAGCGGGTCCCGGTCACCTTCGTGCCCGCCCAGGTAACGGGGCTGGGTGCCGGCAGCGCGCTGGCCTGCCAGGGGGCCGCGTGGCAAAGGTTATTTTGCAAGATGACGTGTCATGAGTTGTTTTGTTGCCACTTAAAGATTAAATCATACTATTTAAGATTGGACTCTCTGAAACACTTACATGGGGAAAGGTGGTCATGTCTTATAAATGCCTCCTTTTTTAAATGGCTATTGAGTTTGCTGTGCAGGAAAGCTTGTAGTCTACAGGCGTGATATTTAATGAATTAACTCACAGCCCAGGAAGAGTTGTTCTTAATCATTTTTTGGCTCACGAGCCCCTTTAAGATGCTGACGGAAGTTCTGTGCCTTCGCTTCAGGCATGTACATACATGCCGTCCTTCACATCAGCTTCCAGGGCACGGACTCCTGAGGTCCAGCCCATACCCTACAGCTGGGCCCGTCAAATAACTGAGAGTGTCCAATATTCCCGCAGGTCACTTGATAATTTATGGGATTAGTTTAGAGATTAATACCTAGTAAGCTGTTTTAAATATTGTCCTATGAAAAGTAGAATTGTGGTTGAATCTATAAATGGATTGTATTTAGCAGATTTTTTCCAATAGAGACCCCCCTAAGTAAAGTCTCTTTTCGTTATCCCTGATAATATCGATAGATTTTTGACACATTAACTCTCAACAGGCCGCAGGTGAACAAGTTATAAACTGTTCAGGTCAGGGGAATGTAAACATGTTCTGAACTCAAGAAAACAAATGGCTTGCTTGATAAGGTTAAAAGTTTAAGATTCAATTTTCAGACATTTTATAATTGGAGTAAAATCCAATTCTATATGAATTATTCCAGAAGAAAACTGGATACTTTCCACATCCTTTCTTCTCTTGAAAGAATGTAAACAGCTTGATGGCTGCTCCCCCTGCTGGGGAAGGTGACAATTGCTAAGGGACTGTCACGTGTCACTCCCAACCTACCATTTGTTATGTGCAAAAAGATCAAGCTCTTGTTCGGATGAACCTGTGACTCAACTGCTAAAACCGGCTTTCAAAATGACACCTATGAGACATACTGGCCAACAGTCTAATAGACAGTATTGATAAAGATGGCCACTTTCCTTTCCGGACTGAGCAATTTTTCCTAAAGCTCTGCATAATCCTGCCCCTCTGCAGCTGGAAATATTTGGTTTCTCCTAGAGACGGCCTTGGAAAGGAGAGAGACTAGTGAGCCTGCTCTGGAGTGGCCAGGGCAGTTTTCACAGAGCTGAGGGACCAAGCCAAGCTTTCGGTGCAGTCCAAAATACCAAACTGCTCCCATTTCCCCCACAATGTTATTTTTAGGGAAACTTGATGTATATAACTTAGTAGATTAGCAAACATATGACGAGTGTAAATATCGGTTATAATAATAATGAAATTATTGTGTAATTCTGGGTTATTAAATACAATGTTATCTACTCAGCTATATACAAAACAGTGTGTTGGTAGACAGCTCCATAAGGTTTCAAAACAAATAATTGTTAGCTGCTTCTGAAATTGTTCAGCATTTAAAAAATATATAGAGTCTGAACACAAAATCTACTAGGTTTCATTTTAATATATGGAATGAAGTAAAACACAGCCGCCCAAAATGTGTGTTTATCCTAACTAATAAAGAGGGAATATGCAAATTGACCACTACACCATAACAAATATGGTGGCACCCATAGCCACAAGATGGTGGTGCCCAGTCCCCTCAGCCCCACCAGAGTCCCACAGTTCTTTCAGCCCATCCGAGGGGTGGGGGATGGCAGGCACATGGTGCAGCCAGACCCACCCTCAATCCCAGCCCCCCAGGGCCAGACCAAGCCACAGACAAGCCTCAGATGATGGCTGCCCAGCCACCCAGGCTTAGGTAACCAGGGTTGGCCACGGCTTGCACTGCTGGCAGTGACAGCAGTAGAAATGTGATGGAAGCATCACCTTTCCCTGATCGCCAAGTCACCAACTGTCCCTGAGGGCTCCCGGACTGAGAGGGGAAATGCTGGGCTGAGGGCCCCCCCTCCAGTGCATGAATTTTCATGACTAGGCCTCTAGTGTGCCTGTAAAAAATTAAATCTCTACAAAGTTTAAAACACACAAACACCCCTGAATTGCACACTGTAACAAGTGAATAAGCTCTAAATGCTTCCCCTCTTCACTTACCTTAATGGTTACCTCTCTTCCTAAAAGATAACTACTAATTTGGTGAATAATATGACAGACTTTTCCCCTACACATCTATAAACTTTTCTATGCTGTGTGTGTGTCCCACAAATGGAATACTATACATAGTTTGTTAGCTTAGTTTTTCTCAATAATAAACCTTTTTATTATCTCCAGTAGATATTGCTCTACTTCATATTTCTGCACCACTATGTATTCTAACCCTCATAAACCTCTCTTTCAGGAAAACACTCAAGAGCAGCATGAAGAAATGAACAAAGGTAATAAAAAAGTGGCCCAGTATTTAAGGGAAAATCTCAATAATGAAATCGCTGCAAGTAAAAGAGAATCAAAGGGCAGCAACAATGTCCAAGAAACAGACAGTGAGGATAACAATGATGATGATGATGAGGAGGAGGAGGAGGAGGAGGAGGAGGAAGACGAGGATGATGAAGACGAAGATGATGAAGATGATGACGGAGAAGATGAGAGTGAAGGGAGTGATGAAGAAACAAAAAGAGAAGAGAAAGGCAAAATAAAGGAGCCAATCAGAAATGGTGAGAGCAACTGCCAGCAGAAAACCAACACAGCCTTTGAAGAACAGAAAGACAGACCAGAGGCCCAAGAAAAAAGTGAGAAAAAAGTATCAAAATTAGACCCTAAAAAGTTAGCTCTAGATACCAGTTTCTTGAAGGTAAGTGCAAGGCCTTCAGGAAACCAAACCGACCTAGACATCAGCTTGAGGCGAGTCAGACAGAATGATCCTGACATGAAGGAACTCAACCTGAACAACATTGAAAACATCCCCAAGGAAATGTTGCTGGACTTTGTCAACGCGATGAAGAAAAACAAGCACATCAAGACCTTCAGCCTAGCCAACGTGGGTGCGGACGAGAACGTGGCCTTCGCCTTGGCCAACATGCTCCGTGAGAACAGGAGCATCACCACGCTCAACATCGAGTCCAACTTCATCACCGGCAAGGGCATCGTGGCCATCATGAGGTGCCTCCAGTTCAACGAAACGCTCACTGAGCTGCGCTTCCACAACCAGAGGCACATGCTGGGCCACCAGGCCGAGATGGAGATATCCAGGCTTCTCAAGGCCAACAACACGCTCCTGAAGATGGGCTACCATTTTGAGCTCCCAGGCCCCAGAATGGTGGTGACCAACCTGCTCACCAGAAACCAAGATAAACAAAGGCAGAAGAGGCAGGAGGAGCAAAAGCAACAGCAGCTCAAAGAGCAGAGGAGGCTGATCGCCATGCTGGAGAACGGGCTGGGCCTGCCGCCAGGGATGTGGGAGATGCTGGGGGGACCGATGCCAGATTCCAGTCTGCAGGAGCTCCTCCAGCCTCCTCCCCGTCCTCCCAACCCCCCAGCGGTCCCCTTCGGCCGGCGAAACGAAGCGATGAGAAAGCCATCGCAGTCCCCTCCACACAGGACGGACCCCGACTCCTTCCGGGGCGTGAAGCTCAAGAGGACCCAGCGCAAATCCCGGATGCCGGAAGCCAGAGAAAGCCAGGAGAAAACCAACCTCAAAGATGTGATCAAAACGCTGAAACCCGTGCCCAAAAACAGGCCGCCCCCGTTGGTGGAAATCACTCCCAGAGATCAGCTCCTGAACGACATTCGTCACAGCAACGTGGCCTACCTTAAGCCTGTAAGTAGACGGAGGGAGAAGCGGTGAGCCAGCGCCAGCCGCGTCTCAGCTCATCCTGCTCATCGTAGTGTCAGGACCATCTCACTAACTGGCTCCCGGGAGGTCGGCATTGCTGGCTACCCCCAGGATATACATCCACTAACAATAATACTAACATCTAAATCACTAGCACTTACTATAGTGAGCTTCATTGTGCGAACTAACTCACACGATCACCTTCACAACCCCAAAAGGTAGGTATCAGGATGCTCCCCAGTTCACTGAAAGGAGGCTGAGGCTTAGAGAAGTGAAGTCACTCACCTGGGAGGTACAGGCAGGAAGCGCTACACTTGACATTGAAACTCAGCTCTGAGTCCATGGTCAGGCTTTAGTTCCCGCCAGCGGCTCCGAGCTGACGTGGAGGTCTGAGGAGCTGCTGTGGGAATAAGAATGGCGCCCTGGGAGTGAGGCCATCGTTGGTGGGTGCCTGGTGCCTTCGCCCTGCAGGAAGCCGGGCGCATTGTCCATAGACCACTTTTGCTTTTGACCTCCTCACTGTGTGGCACACGGTAAACGTCAGGTTAGTGTCTCCACAAATTAGTAGCTTTAAGTATTTTACTACTATTTCCGTCTGAATATTTACTATGATTCACTATTACTGCTGCTGATGGATGAGAATGTTCTTTTCTTTGCAGTTCAGTCCCAGGAGCACATTTCTCCTGTCACTGCTAAGATAGATTTTATGGAGGCAGAAAGGTGGATGTCCAAGGGTCTTGGGTGGGCGATGATTTGCTATTATTTTAAAACTTGTGTGTAATTTTAGTCAAGAGATGACATTGACAAAATAGTTAATATATTATTCATCACAGAGAGTCACCATTTTGTTGTTAATCCTCACACGAGGATATTTCATCATTGATTTTTTTTTTTTTTTTTTTTTTTGAGAGAGAGTGGAGGGGAGAGGGAGAGACAGTGAGAGAAACATCGATGTGAGAGAGACACATCTATTGGTTGCCTCCCTCAGGAGCCCTGACCAGAGCTAGGGATTGAGCCTGCAACTGAGGTCATACCCTTGACTGGGATTGAACCTGGGACCCTTCAGTTCATAAGTCGATGCTCTATCTACTGAGCCAAACCTGCTAGAGCTGGAGAATCACCATTTTTTTCAAGGTGCTTTAAACAATTTTTCATGTAAGCTTGTTCTTTTACTGCTTCAAAAAGCTATACATTTTAAATGAAGAAAGCTGTTACTTATACACACACACACACACACACACACACACACACACACACACAGGTCTCCATTCTCATCCTCTGGCAATGCAGAGCTGACAACATTCCTTTGTTCTAGATCAAAGCCGACTGTCTCTTAGGCAGGGGTGCGGAACCTTCTCTCTGCCTAGGGCCGGTTGGACATTCATAACATCATTCTTTGGCCATAGAAAATTACCAGCTTGAAAATAAGCCTGCTCTATTTGGTCAAACGTTTAGTTAACTCACCCCAATGCCTGGGCAGGGCCCGCCCAGGTGATTTCACAGGCTTCATCTCTCCTGTAGGCTGGCCGCCCCCCACCCTGACCTGCCTTAGGGGGACTCTGACCCTTGCTGGGGGTCACATGAGGTCAGGTGAGCGTTCTCTGCCTGTGCTTGGGCACAACATCAAGATTCCCTGCACCTGCTCCTCTCCTGGCAGCCAGCCCTCTGGGGGGGAGGGAGGGGTTGTTTTGAGAAACGATCACTTCTGTAACCAGTCACCAGTGAAGCATAGCCAAGCTGCCTCAGTGGTGGTACGGTCTGAAAATAACATTAGTCTGAAAGGCATGAAGAGAGCTCTTTTTAAAATGGAAGAGAGAATGAAGTTCCAGCGATCATCTGACCCAGCTCCCTGCCTTTTGCGGGAATGCTCTACTGAGCAAACCTGCCTCCCCACGTCTGTCCCATTCCAACGGACCACTCACTCATTAATGCGACAAGTATTTACATGGGGCCCCCAGCCCGCCAGGCCCCCGCCGAGGGGTCGGGGAGGCCACAAGGGGTCAGGCAGGGCCGGCCTCGGTGGCATGGAGCATACAGTGCAGGGGTTGCCATCTTCACAGTCAAAACACTGCCTTTCCCTCAACAGAGAGCACTTGTTTTGAGTCCAGATCCTAAAGCACAGGTACCCTCCGTGTACTGTCCACTACGCACTACACTTTACATTCCCACTCAGTCCTACAGGGCTGTCACTTTTACGTTGTGTGTTTTCATGTCAACTAAGAAAGAAAGGCTGTTTCGAAGTGCACTCCGGGGCCTGTGCTTGGAAATGCCTTTCCTGTGTGCAGGGCGTGCGCCTCCCGCTGCTGCCAGAGCCCGGCTGGGCCTGCGGAGCCTCTGCCTGTGCCTCAGGGACAGCTCATCCCGCAGCTTCTCTGCGGGCCCTGTAAGACGCCGCGGGGGGGGGGGGGGGGGGGGGGGCAGGCATGCATCGCCTCTGATGAAAATGCCCGGGCTGCTGTCTGCCGCTCCCTCCCGCTGCCCTGCTTATGCCCGCTGCACACACAATAAACGTCTGCTTTAACGCCAGGTCATGGTGTGATCTGTAAAAGACTCTTTAAATCTACTGATTCTGAAATCATTGTAGACTTTCAGAAGCTCAAATAGAATATAAAGAATTCCTGCACACGTGTCACATTCTGCCACATTTGCCTCATCGTGGTTCAGAAGGTATTTTAAGTGGCCACACCCCTGTGCACATGCAGCCAACAGGGCCTGCAGCTCCATGGAGATGCGAAAACTAAGAAAGGCCCTGGCGGGTGTGGGGCACACGCAGCTGACCACGGTGAACCCACAACTCTGTTCAGGGCGCCTCAACCGTCACAAAATGTGCATCACGGACTCGATGGAAAGCTGTAGATGCCATCAGCAAGGCTACCACAGGCCCCAGCGCCAAGGGAGGCCTCTGGCAGCCAGAGGAGACGCGCCTGCGCTCACTTCAGTCAGAGGGGAGGCACCTCTCACGGGGAGAGGGGGAACTAAGGTTTTGGGGTCCCCCCTCTTGTGCCGTAGGACAGAGATGCCCCCTAACTCCCGGATTTTTAAGGATACGGTTAAAATTGAAATACAATTTTGAAGTTTTGTGATTTTCCTTTTTACTGAGGTTCCTAACTAGATTCCTGAATACCAAAAATGTACTTAGAAATTACTCCTAGAAAACTTTAAGAAGAAAAAGATTATTTTCCTCTCAAGGACTTAGAAATATGATTTTTGTATTTTCTAGAATATATCTTAAATAGTCCATTTATATCCTAAGATCATATTTTTTTCATTTTAATGTTTACCCTCTATTTCATGCTTCTGGCACAAGACCCTGAAGTGAAGTTGGCAGCAGAGAATAAAGGAAAATCTGTTCAACTTGCTGGGCTAAAGGTTATCTTCTCCGAGGAACTGCCCTTTTAACCAGCTTAAAGGAGAGTTAGTGTGTAGGCCAGGTACTGAAAACTTTGAAAACTGCCAGTCTGCAGGCCAGATCTGAAAGCCTGTTTTATTTGTCTTGTATCCTATATAATAAAAGCCTAATATGCTAAGTGTCTGGTTGACCAGTCACTGGTTCAACCAATCAAAGCATAATATGCTAATAATATGCTAAGCCTGCTCAATTGCATGCTATGACGTGCACTGACCACCAGGGGGCAGATGCTCTGACTGGTAGGTTAGCTTGCTGCTAGAGTCTGGCTGACCCAGACTGAGTGAGACAGGCCGGACACACCCTTGAGCCCTCCGATGGTCGCTCTCTGGCTGGCCAACCTCCCGTGTCCTTCCTGGGCCCCAGTTGTGCACTAGTGGGGTCTCTTGGCCTGGCCTGCACCCTCTTGCAATCTGTGACCCCTCCGGGGATGTTGGACTGCCGGTTTTCACCTGATCCTCCGAGGAATATACCAGAGTACCAAGTGGCAGGCAGCCAGGAAGGAGCTAGGGCCTGGCACTATCACTCCTGCTCTTCCTGGCCCTGTTGTGCCTGCCACCACCGCTTGGTAGCACTGCTGCAGAGGTGGGAGAGGCTCCCGCCACCACTGCTGCACTAGCCAGCCATGAGCCTGGCTTCTGGCTGACCAGTGCTCCCATTGTGGGAGTGCACTGACCACCAGGGGGCAGCTCCTGTGTTGAGCGTCTGCTCCCTGGTGGTCAGTGTGCAACATAGCGACCAGTTGAGTGGTCGGCCAGTTGGTCACTTAGCTTTTATACTGTATATATAGACAGTAGTCCAAAGCAAAGACATTAGGCTTGTATAGATGTATCCCTCACAGCAAATGCATGGTTTCCTTTCATAAGAAAGTTCTGTGGTCCGTTTACTGCTCACCATCTGAGATGAGTATTTAGACTCTTCTCGGAAGCCACCTGTGCATAAGCTGCTGTGCCAAACAAGGCACCTCCAACATTCTCTCATCCCCTTCTGCCTCGCCTCTCTGTGTGTCCCTGTGCTGCTTCCAGCTGGCGCCTGCAGACACTGCTCAGTGTCTGGTTGGGAAAGTCTTTGGTGTAATCCTGTGAGCAGCTGCCGTAGTCAAAACAGTCCTTATGATCACAGAATGTAAGATTCTAGACTCTCGGCCTCATCGCCACCTCTGGCCATTTCTCCCATGTCTCATCTATAAGACCTTCTCTCTCTATAACAAGGCTCTCCAGATCCTCTCCTTCTGTGATTTTTCTCCTCTTTCCCATCTTACCTTCTCCCCTTGTTTCAATGACCACATAATCCAGGGCAACTCCCAAGTCCCCTTTTCCTTAGGTCACCCAGGGTTTTCTCGGTCCTTCATTTGGCCTGCTCCCTAGGTCAAGCTCTTTCTTGGTAGGCCTGCCATTGTTCCCGCTTCCGTTTCCCCGCTGTCTCCATTCCTGCACACCTTCAAGTCTAAGGCACAGAGTTCTCCTTTTTAAATTTTAATATATTTTTGTTGATTACAGAGAGGACGGGAGAGGGAGAGCAAAATAGAAACATCAATGATGAGGGGGAATCGTGTGCCTCCTGCACACCCCACACTAGG